CATCTGTGATGGTTTTGTCTCTTTGCCAACATGTAGATTTTGCTTTCATATTTACAGTTAAATGTAAGCTTCCAAAGATCACAAACATAAAAACCAAAAGAAATCATTTTTACTTTTTATATCCATGCGACTTTAATAAACAGCAGTGGAACTTAAAGAAACTGGGCGCCTTCTCTTTAAATTTTTGACTCTGTATTAGAATGCATCGTAGCGTCGGGAGCTGATTGGAGCTATAATATGTCAATCAATAATGGAATTTTTTTTAATTATTTTTATACAAATCAGAACACTGAGGGGTTTAGCAGAAACCCTGGTTCCTTAGTGAGACTCTACATGACTAAAAACTCCTTTCTTAGTGACAGATACCCCTTAAATCAGAAGTTCATATGTGCTTTGGAAAGAGGTGAGACCAGTAACAAGCACTGAAGAGAAAGGCACATAAGACACACTCAATGGAGCTTTGATGGTCAAGTAATGGACAGAGAGAATAGGAAATACCTGAAGACGTAGAAAACTTGAAAAGTCTAGAAAGATTAAAATCACAGACAAGAGAGATGGACAGAGATAATAGATAGATAGACAGAGATAGATAGAGATATAGAGATAGAGATAATGATAGATAGATAGATAATTATATCCCACTATGACTGTGTCTGTATAAGGCTGATGAAAAGCAATTGTTAGAGCATGGCATGGCAGTCCAATGACTCTGAGCAATGTGGTGGCACTAAGGTCTGCAAGGGCGACTCATTTCCTCTCTCCTCACCTCTCCATAGAAACAAATGTGGCTGAGCACAGACAATGGTGGTGCCAAGGGCCAGTCAGATTGTAGATGCATGTCCAACTACCCTTGGATGTCCATAAGCGGGCAAACTGTAGTTGGAATCACAGCAATGCTGTTAAGGGCAAGGTATCTTCATCAGACATATACCATCCTGTAAAGAATAAAGTTGTAAATTTCATCCCCCCCATCTTCTTTTTATCTTCATCTGCTGTCTCACCCTCTAGTAGGCTGTTCATAAATGAAACTTTAACTCATTAAAAAAACTTACCGCCCCAAAGGCCCACCATCAGGAAAAGATTATATTCTGGTAGCTGTACATGCTTAATACTTATATTGACAGTATGCACTAAATAGATTCCAAAACTATAACACTGCCAGAGGTGCTTAAAGCTGTCAGCTTTTATTCATATGGTTTAAAACCTTTTTCAAAAATTACAAGAAAAAATGGTTGCTGTAACTGCTTACGTGCTTAATGTGTTTGCCACTTAATATTGAAGTATATCGAAAGCCAAAATGTTCTATTTTATTTAGGATAAAGTAGGGAATAGGGTAAAATTTCTTTAATTTTTTTTTTGTGTCTTAGGGAGATTTCTCTTCACTTCCTGTCATGTAATTACAACAGGAATTAAGTGGAAATCCCTCCAAAAAAAGAGGAAGATCAAAGTTACATAGTTAGTCTGGCTGAAAAAAGACAAAAGTCCATCCAGTTAAAAAAAAAAAAAAAAGATATAATCCTATACCCACAATTGATCCAGAGGAAGGCAAAAAAAAACCCGGCAAAGCATGAACCAATTTGCTCCTGCAGGGAAAAAAATTCCCTCCTGGTCCCCTGAAAGGGAGTCAGATATTCCCTGGCTCAATATTACGTATAAATGTTAGTATCCAGTTATATTATGTACATTTAGGAAATAATCCAGGCCTTTTTTAAAGCAATTCACTGAGCTGGCCAGAACCAACTCTTGAGAGAGTCTATTCCACATTTTCACAGCTCTTACTGTGAAGAAACCTTTCCATATTTGGAGATTAAATCTCTTTTCCTCCAGACATAAAGAGTGCCCCCTTGTCCTCTGTGATGACCTCAGGGTGAATAACTGTACACCGAATTCACTATATGAACCACTGATGTATTTATACATGTTGAGATCATATCCCCCCTTATGTATTATACATGGAGATCATATCCCCCCCTTATGTATTACACATGGAGATCATATCCCCCCTTATGTATTATACATGGAGATCATATCCCCCCTTATGTATTACACATGGAGATCATATCCCCCTTATGTATTATACATGGTGATCATATCCCCCTTATGTATTATAGATGGAGATCATATCCCCCCTTATGTATTATACATGGAGATCATATCCCCCCTTATGTATTATACATGGAGATCATATCCCCCCTTATGTATTATACATGGAGATCATATCCCCCCTTATGTATTACACATGGAGATCATATCCCCCTTATGTATTATACATGGAGATCATATCCCCCCTTATGTATTATACATGGAGATCATATCCCCCCCTTATGTATTATACATGGAGATCATATCCCCCCTTATGTATTATACATGTTGATCATATCCCCCCTTATGTATTATACATGGAGATCATATCCCCCCATGTGTTATCATGTTGATCATATCCCCCCTTATGTATTACACACATGTTTATCATATCCCCCCCTATGTATTTATACATGTTGATCATCATATCCCCCCTTAATCTCCTTTTCTCAAGAGAGAATAATTTCAGTTCCTCTAATCTTTCCTCATAGCTGAGCTCCTCCATGCCTCTTATCAGTTTAGTTGCCCTTCTCTGTACTTTCTCTAGTTCCCCAATGTTCTTGTTGTGAATTGGTACCCAAAACTGAACTGCATATTCCAGATGAGGTCTTACTAAATGATTTGTACCAGGGAAAATGATCTCTCTCTCTCTGGAGTCTATACCTCTTTTAATACAAGAGAGGATTTTACTCGCTTTAGAAACCGCGGCTTGGCATTGCATGCCATTATTAAGTTTATGATCTACCAGAACTCCCAGATCCTTCTCCACCATTGATTCCCCCAGTTGTACCCCCCCCCCAGTATGTAGAATGCATGCATATTCTTAGCCCCCAAGTGCAGAATCGTACATTTATCAACATTAAACCTCATTTGCCACATAGTTACCCAATTACACAGAGCATTGAGTTCGGCTAGTAAGTTGGAGACATCCTGTAAGGACAGTTTTCCACTGTAAAGCTTGGTGTCATCTGCAAAGACTGAAATTGTATTTTTAACCCCAGACCCTATATCGTTTATAAATATATTAAAAGGTAAGGGCCCCAACCCTGAACCTTGGGGTACGCCACTAATAACACTGAACCTTGGGGTACACCTCTGACACCCCTAGACCATTCAGAGTATGAATCATTAACCACTACTCTCTGAATACAATCTCTTAGCCAGTTTTCTATCCATTCACCTCCTAGCTGTCAACATAACAGGTGTCCCCACTAATAGATTTCTACTCTGGTGTTAAATCCCAATTTTAGATCTTCCCATCATTCATAAAAAGATTAGATCTTCCTATCGGGAAAACTGGCTGCATTAAAAACAGAAGCAAGTTCTAGACTCTTACTACTCTACCCAGAACAAAAAATAAAAAGCTTTGGCTTTAGATACCAGAGATGGTAAAAAAATGGTGAAAGTTCTGGGGGATAAAACATATCAGGAGAGACTTCAGGAACTTAATATGTACAGTCTGAAGGAAAGAAGGGAAAAGGGGAGACATGAAGGAAACCTTTAAATACATCAAAGGGGTGAATAAGGTTCAGGAGGGCAGTATTTTCAATATGAAGCCAAGATCAAGAACACAGGGACATGACCTCAGCGTAGCAGAAGGAAAGTTCAAAACTAACCTTAGAAAATATTTTTTTACTGAAGCAGTAGTTTGTCTTTGGAATAGATTTCCAGCAGAGGTAGTGAGTCAGTCAGCAATAAGTGAATTTAAACAGGCATGGAACAAAGATCTATACTCAGACAAAAAGTAAAAAAAAAAAAAAACACAACAAAAAAAAAAAAATGGGGCCGACATGATGTTTCTTTAAAGTCTATTTAATACTATCCTATACTACATAGGGTGACAACGCTGTGGTGATGAATGAGCAATGTTGTCATCTAACAGAAAAAGAGGTTGAAAGTCAAGAGAGCTACTGGAAGGATCAAAAACTAGTGAGACTATGTTATGGGGAGATGCAACAAACAACAGACTGTTACGATATGTAATGTGCCCCATTACGGGGTGCAATGGTTTTCTTTTGCATGGAAAATTGGGTAGCCCCAGTTTTGATTTTTCACACACACATATATATATATATATATATATATTTGTACACACACATGCGTATATGTTGAAAATGTAGTGCTGAAGGGGTTAACACCATCGGCCTACTGTACAAAGGTCATAGGTAACTTGTACTTTGTACTTAAGATTGGGCGGCTGGTAGCAATTTAGATGTTTTTCATGTGTACATCAAAGGCAAGTGGAATATTGGGCATCCTTAAAGTTAATCTATGCCAATTGGTGCTGGCAGGTAGATTGATGTCAGATTGTTCCCGCTTATTAGGCTTCTTTAATGACCCCTCTTCATCAATAAAAAAAAGAAAGAATTTTAACATATGCATTGTTTTCTTTTTTAGTGCACAGGTAAGTAAAAAAAAAACAGAAATGCTACAGTAGGTAATCCGATGTGTAAGAAATAAATGCCTGAAGTCTTGAGGAAGTCACTAATTTAGAGGTGTCTTGTTATTGAGACGCACTTGCAAAAAAAAAAAAAAACCCTGAATCTCAATTCGCAAATTGGCTCCACGTTTGTCAGGGGATATTTCACATCTAACACGTAAGCCCACGACCTTTAATTAGAAATTTTGCAGTTTGTTTTGTGCCCCTGGAGGCTGACACCTTGAAAAAATTAAAAAAAAAACTGCTCCTGATTTCGCCTTGCTAATAAGCATATTCCTCCTACCCTCTGGTATTTTAAAGAAAATGATGCAAAAGACGTTTAATTGCAGCGGTGGCAATAATTTGTAAGGGGAATGTATTATCAGGGAGAAAGCAAAAACGATCTGATTAAATCTGTGATCACATCACAAAATTTTGCCTGTTTGTACTGAAGGATTGATTTTTTTTTTTTTCCTTTTGCGATCAGGAGGAAAGCAGCATGTCCCGTCTGTCTCTAACGCGTTCACCGGTCTCCCCGTTGGCTTCGCAAGGAATTCCTCTCCCTGCCCAACTCACCAAATCCAACGCACCTGTCCACATTGACGTAGGGGGGCATATGTACACGAGCAGCCTAGCTACCCTGACGAAGTACCCGGACTCCAGGTAAGAGATGTCACTTTGTTCATTTCCATGTCAAATCTGATGCCAGTGTTGTGTATATTCCCTGTCCGCATCCTTCTTTTAAATGTCAGACTTTTCAATATGTCATTTGTACGGATTTTCTTTGCACTAAACAAGCCCACGGATTTTTGAATTCTAGAATATTGATTGAAGATTAGGACTTGTAGGTTTTTGGGCAAATTGGAGCAAGCAATATATTTCAACTTCTGTTTGAGGCATTGACAAGGAAAAGTGACAATTTAATGATGAATCCATTAACACTTATTAAAGTTGATGTAAATACTGAACGGATAAAATTTAGTTTGTCCTGTGCACAATATGCACATTTTTTTTTGTTTTTTTTTTTAATAAAATACTATTTTTACCCTTTTCATTCTTTTTGTGGATGTCAGTGCTGTTGCTCTCCTCCAGCCTCTTTCAGACACTTCCTATTGTCATTCACTTGCTCCTGCATTGGCTGTACACTATTGCTCTGGATGGTGACAACACTGGCGCATGCTGCAGGAACACAGTTGTGAACAGTTGTCACCCTATAACAGGAAATTCCTGAACACGGACCTGCATGGCAGGATCACCAGTTTTTTTTTTTTATCAAAAGCTGCAAAGATTGAAAACTTTTGAAATTATATTAACACATTATGTTTCGGTGGTGGTGTTTAGATCCACTTTAAGCCTGTGTGTGGTCTTTCTAGTCCTTCCATGCTGAATACCTTAGTTTTTGCCTAAAGCTGAAGTTTGGATTGGATAATATTATTGCAGCTAGTCACAATTTACTTGCTGTAGATCAGCCTTTCTTAACCAGGGTTCCTCTAGAGATTTCTAGGGGTTCTTTAAGCAACGAACAGTTTCTGCCTCTGAGATAAATTCACATTGACACTGATGATCTTTTCAGCTATCTGTAAGGAGCATTCTTCTCACTGACCATCAATGTATAGAGCATTCTTCTCACTGACCATCAATGTATAGAGCATTCTTCTCACTGACCATCAATGTATAGAGCATTCTTCTCACTGACCATCAATGTATAGAGCATTCTTTCCACTAATCACCAATGTATAGAGCATTCTTTCCACTGATCACCAATGTATAGAGCATTCTTCCCACTGGCCACAAATGTAAGGGACATTCTTCTCACAGACCACCAATGTATAAAACATTCTTCTCACAGACCACCAATGTATAGAGCATTCTTCCCACTGGCCACAAATGTAAGGAGCAATCTTCTCACAGACCACCAATGTATAGAACATTCTTCCCACTGGCCACAAATGTAAGGAACATTCTTCTCACTGATCACCAATGTAAGGAGCATTCTTCTCACTGACCACCATTGTATAGAGCATTCTTCCCACTGGCCACAAATGTAAGGAGCATTCTTCCCACTGGCCACAAATGTAAGGAGCATTCTTCTCACTGACCACCAATGTATAGAGCATTCTTCCCACTGGCCAAAAATTTAAATATCATTCTTCTCATTGACCACCAATGTAAGGGAAATCCTTCCCAATGACCACCAATGTAAGATGAATCCTTCCCAATGAAAATCAGTGTAAGGGAAACCTTCTCCCTCTGATTGCTAATTCAAGGGGGTCCTTCTCCACTGATCACTAATATAAGGGGGCACCACACCTACTAATAATGTATGAAAGCACTTTAGTTACCACCAATGTAAGAAAGCACCATACTGACCATCAATGTAAGAAGCAATTTTTCAAAGACCATCACTATACGGCCACACACACTGGGCGTCTAGCTGATGTATGTCCAATGCTGGCATTTTCATGCAACCCGGAGGCACAGTCTGTCATAGTTTATGACAGGCCAAAATAACTGCGGCTGGACCCTGTACCAAGTTATACTTGCCTTTAGAGCCTTATGGGTTCAGGGACATATCCCTGGAAACCAGATATTTTGTTTTTTATTATTTGTTTCATTTTATTATAATAAATTATATTACAATATACATCCCCTATTCTTTTATTTATTTTTATTATATCCACACCTTTATATCCATGCTTATCTCCTGTTAGCTGAGTGGTTTGCTCAGACCTGTGTGTAATTTCAGTAGTTCCTTAATGAAAAAAGGTTAAGTGAGGGTGCTGTAAAATGTGGAAAAACATTGATTTGAGGAACTGATTCAATTGCAATAGGTGGGAAGAACCACGTTTGCCCCAGGCATTTTTTTTCTTCCTCCAAATCATGTCTGTTGAACTCAATGGGCATTTGTCATTTTCCAGTCTATTATGTATATTAAATAGAGCTTGGTTGAAAAAGTTGAACTAAAGTTTCACAAATACTTAGTTTTTTATAGAAATTTAGGTAAAAGGGAATTTGATTATTTTTGTGAGAAAAATATAGTTTACTTTTTACATGCTTTTCTCTCTCTCTCTCTCTGTGCTGTGCACATCCTGTAGACTCTTTGTAGGAATGTCCTGTAAACATTTGCACACTCTAACAATGGCTGAGAGCTACAATTTCTACAGCAGTGACCAAAGCAGAATGTGTCAGTGCGCAAAAAATGTAATGTCAAAAGGTTGAACCTCGGTCCCTGCTTTCATTTAAATCATACAAGCAATATCTATCCACAGACATGTCCTGCTCTATGGTGACAATGCTTCCTGTCCTAGGGTGACAACACAGTAGATGAACTGAGTAAGTGTTGTCACCATAATACCATAGTAGTGTCTGGATCAGGGGCGGACTGACAACTCATGGAGCCCCCAGGCAATAGGGGATCATGGGGCCCCTGTGTCCCTGCCCGAACTCAAAAAAGCCTATGAAAAAGGTACCAGGGGCATCTCATGGGGCCCCCTACTGACCCCGGGCCCTCAGGCAGTGCCCGAGTTTCCAAAAAGTCAGTCCGCCCCTGTTCTGGATAGACATTGCTTGTATGACTAAAATGAAAGCATGGCACATAAAACAGGTTCAACTCTTGGATATTACAAGAACATTTGCAACAACATATTTGGTTTAGGTGTTTGGATTAGTAGGTGACATCTAGTACATGATACTTTCTATCATTACCTTTGAACTGCCTCCCAGTTGTCTTAATATTGTAAAGAATACCATGCAACTCTAGTTTTCCCTAAAAATGTTTTCATAACATTTGTGAATAAATATTAGTTGCTTGTATCCTTACAGTGAAAATGGCTTAGTGTTTCAGGAAAGCTGATATTCTGTCCAGTAGGCCTGTAGGGCTCAAGGTAGAAGATAGCTTGAACAGGTTAGGGTGGGAAATTTCAGAGGATGGGAGAGGCTCTTGGGAAGTCCTGGAGGTTAGCATGGGAGGAGGTGACAAGAGAGCTGGAAGGCAGGAGGTCTTAGAAGCAGAGCAGAGGGTTTGGATGATATTTGGAGACTAGGTTGGTGATGTAGCATAGGGCAGACTTGTGGATGGTTTTGCATGTTCTTATGGAGAAGTCTGACAGAAGACGCACCAACCAAAAGTCATTATCAAAATATTTTTAAATCCACAGCTTTCATGATTTATTATTAGTTTTTTTTCACCTTTATATTTTTAGAGTTTTTTCCATGGTGAACCTGCCATGAAGGTTCTTGTTTGGTGACCTCACCTGTCTTCCAGCTGTGCTCCTGCACTGTCACCCTGTCACATAGGGTTCTGATGGAGACTACAAATAGCCTTTACAACACACATTACACAGTCATAATCCACTGTTGTCACCATTAGATAACCCGCCCTGAGAAATGAGTTCATATAGGCTGAACATGGCTGCAAAGAGGCTGCATCAGCACTGAGGTGTAAAGGAAGAAAAAAGGTCAAAACTGTATGTGATAAAAAAAGAATAATAATACATTCGAGAATTTTTTCATGATATGCAGTGCTACATAGTTTTTGAAGGACCTTTGCCAGTTTTCATTCCTGGTGTTTATGCCAACTTAAAGCGCCATCAAACCCAAAACCAAACATGTAACATATTGCTGCTTACCAATCATTAGATGTGGTGGCATTAGTTTTCTTTTTTTAGGCTTTTTCCTTCTGTTTTCAGCTGGTGATCCAACTAGTAACACACCTCTGTAGTATTAGAGCGCCCCCACTCTGGAAGAATAAGAACAAGGGGCACCTTTAGACAGCAACATTGTCAGCCTAGGGGAGTGTTAGATGTACTAGCAGATTTAAATACAGTAACAAATTGAAGCCAAACTTAAGATAATACCTTATAGGCAGTTACAGCAACAGTTTTCTTTCCTTTTGGAATAAAGGTTTTACATAAAAGCTGATCATTGTAAGCACCTTGCAAGTGTCAAACAGTATATCTCATCTTTGTAATGGATACATTCTGCTGGAGAGCTTCTTCTTTTGAAAAATAACAGCCTTACTGCCCAGATGAAAATGTAAGAAAGAAAGCCTAACAAGGAAAACTAATGCAGCCATCACATCTAAAAATGGTAACCTGCAATATAATAAATATTTGCTTTTGGGTTTATTATCACATATTAGTCTACTACTGAAAACTTGAACCCTGAAGATGAGGGAGTTGTTTTTACCCTCTGTAACCTTGGCTGTCTTGTGGTTTTATTTTTTTTCTTTTGCTTTGAACCTTATTTATCATTAAATGTTTTGGACGTTTGTTTGGTGCTCTCTCATTGAATCCAGTTAAGGTTTACATCTACTTTTAAACAAGCAATTGTAAAGTATAATTGATGAACACTACTGCCTCCCTAGATTGTAATTGGGGTGCTGAGGGTGCTCAGTACCCAATCCCACTACAAACTGTGTGTACCTGCTACATCAACAGTAACACATCATTCAAAAGCACAGCAGACACAAGGGAAAGCAGGAAAAAGATCCCATAGCAGGGGCAGACTGACAACTCATGGGGCCCCTGTGTCCTTGCCCAAACTCAAAAAAGCCTATGAAAAAGGTACCGGGGCATCTCATGGGGCCCCCTACTGACCCCGGGCCCTCGGGCAGTGCCCGAGTTTCCAAATGGTCAGTCCGCCCCTGTCCCATAGCATTATCAGAGCTGAGATTTTTTTATTCCTGGTTCAGGCTTTCATGTGGTATGGAGGAGGAGTGACCATACACAGCAAATGTAGCTCAGCAAGCAAAATGTGAATGGCACATCATTAATTCCCCCTTAGATAAATGGTAAAATGATGGCTTCAAATGTGTACTCCTCGGAATAAAAGTTACCCTTTTAAACATTCCATTTCCTTAGTCAGGTGTGACCCTTCACCACAGATTTTTAGCCCGTACATGTATTATTTTTTTCTTTAGCCCAGTTCTGCTAATTAGCTGCCTAATTAGCAGAGTTTTGTATTATGGTGACACAGACGGGAGACTGGCTTTGCTGTGTTTTCAGTTGCGTCTGACAGGCCTATGCCCCAACTTATAAACACACAGGTTGTGATCTGGTGTATTAAGCTTCTGGAACAACAGGTAAATGTGTAACCAGCTCCTTACATTCAGCAAGGTCATCCTGAGTCTAGAAACGGATGCTGTAGTTCATCTGCTCATGAGCAGCACAGTGGCTTAGAGGTTAGCACTTCCACCTGGCAGTACTTTTGTCATTGGTTCAAATCCCAACCACGGCACCACCTGCCTGGAGTTTGCATGTTCTCCCTGTGCCTGCGTGGGTTTCCTCCGGGTACTCCGTTTTCCTCCTGCACTCCAAAGACATGCTGGTAGGGTAATTGGATCCTGTCTAAACTGTCCATGGTATATGTATGAATGTGAGTTAGGGACCTTAGATTGTACGCCCCTTGAGGGTTAGGGACTGATGTGAATGTACAATATATATGTAAAGTGCTGCATAAACTGATGGTGCTATATAAGTACCTGAAATAAATCTGTCGTCATTTCGTCATTTTTTTTAATGTAAGTCTCTGATGAAGGGAAAGAAAAGAAGTGCAGCCCTCAGACAGAGGGGTAGTTCAGTGTATGTGGCATCATTTGGCTATGAGGGTCATGTTTGTAACATCATAATTAGAAACATGCTCACTTCCCTGTTTTACCAGATGTTTGGCTTCAGTTAGCAATATTAAAAATCTATTTACCATGTAGTAAGATTCTACAAGTCTGGCTTCTTGTGTTCATTTCCAAGGGTGGCTAAACATAAAAAAATGGGCCCACAAAAATAAGCCATTAATGTCAATTCGATGCAAAACTTTCCATCTTGATAGCAGGTGTGCCGGTGGATTGTCAGTCTGGAATAGGAAGGGTAAAACTTGAGATCTGAGACTTAAAGGCAACTCTTTGTCAGCCAGGGATTTCTGGGGATCTCCAGAGTAGACAAAGAATTTAGAAAGAGTGAGAGCACCATAGTAATTGTGTAAAAATTTATTTTGCCCAACATGTAGTCACAAAGTGACAGGTGGTCTTCTCTGCCGTTTTGGCATTTGGCTATGATCAAGTGTAGCATCTCTTCTTATCAGTTTTCAGGAACGGAAAGCTGGTGGCACCTTTATCCAAGGAGGGGGCACCAGTTAGCAATTCCTGATGTAATAGGATTGGTACGGTGGGAGGAATCCTTTTCCTCTTGGGTTGATCCTGGCCTGGTATACTAAGCTTGTCCCTATTTGTAGGCAGGCATTCCTTGGTCTGAGGCGCAAGGAACTCTAGTTTGCATCCCATAGGTGTCAAAAAAACACTTTGGGGTTGATTTACTAAAGGCAAATATGCTGTGCACTGTAAGTGCACTGAAAGTGAAGTTGCTCTAGATTTGAGGGGAACATACAAGGAGAATGGAAAGAAAACAGCATTTTTGCTCGCACATGATTGAATAAAAGAAATCAGCAGAGCTTCCCCTCAGATTTAAAGCAACTGCACTTGCGGTACACAGCATATTACCTTTGGTAAATCAACCACTATGGGTTTGGGACCACACAGAATCTCATCTCACTAGGTCACATCATTTTGCATTTCTTGCATACACTTCTTGGGTGGACCTTTTGGTAGCTTAGAACAATTGTTGGAAGGCCTGCCTTGTATTATGCACATGGCTCTTTTTATTTATTGTTCACTTTTTTTGCACTATTCATCATGAGCACTAACACTGCATATGTGGTTTGTTTGTTTTTTCTCTCACAGAGACTGAGGTTGCAGGTTATCAGTTTTCTGCCCTAATGTTGGGGACAGGATCTGTGGCCTTGGGGTTTTTTTCCTCTCCCTAACCAGGGGTGTCTTTTTGGAAGAGCCCTCGCCAAGTACTTAGTGGACTGGCTTTGGCCTAGGTAGACCAGAGTGCTTTGCCCCTGTCAGGAGCTGTGTGCCCTGGGGGGGTTCAGGGTTTGGGGCTCTTCTTCTTTGGAGGTTGGACCATTACTGTACCCTGTGTGCTTTTCTTCAATGCTGTGATTTCATGGTTCACTATTTTTAGTCACAGGTTTAAAAAAAAAAGTCATAAAGAGAGGCTGTCATGTTTTGAGGCATAACAGTCCCTTTTCATCAGGGGTTAAGAAACAAGAAAACATAAAATAAAATCTATTTATGTGTTTAGAAAGTATAAAACATTACATTTGGATGAATAGACAGGTGGTGTGTGGTCCCCAAAGCTGTTTACGTTTATACCTGGTGGCATGGAAGTGGTGATGTTCAGTGTTTTGACACTGGGCTGGTCGTTGTTCCAATCCAACATTGGAGGTATAGAGGGAGATTCCTTTGTAGGTTGACCTAATGAGGTGAATTCCAGCAAGCAGTTTAATCGCTCAGTAGAATGGTATTCAAACTGTCTAGGTAGCTTGGACCTAAAATATATAGTGATGGATTACTACATATTTTGAACAAATGGCATCTATGGAGTAAGGTCAATGGGTATCCTGTAGTAGCTAATATATTCACACATATTTGGATGATTTTTGTTGATCATTAGCAAATAGCGAATTACATGTTACTTGTGTACCTTACTCCATAGGGGACCATCTGTTTCAAATGTGTAGCAATCGATTACTATTCTTAGTGATTATAGTAGCAAGATTGCGCTAATAAATATCAGTCATGAGGTTCAAGCCTTAGCTTTGCTTTGAACGTTGTGTAAATTAAACCTAAACATATACACTATGGGGTTTAATTTACTAAAGCTGGTTCACTCAGAATCTCGTGCACTTCTGCATAGAAACCAATCAGCTTACAGGTTTTATTGCTAAAGCTTAATTAAACAAGCTGAGGTTAGAAGCTGATTGGTTACCATGTACAGCTGCACCAGATTCTGAGTGAACCAGCTTTAGTAAATAAACCCCTATATGACTATCAACATATGGACCTCCCTCCAAATGATTGATTTCAGGTGTCTCCAGTGAAGGGTCCTGTTCATTTTATTCCATACAAAGACATTACAGACAATTTTGTCCTTCCAACTTTGTGGTAGACGTTCATGGAACACCCTTTTCTGTTCACTGTGTCCCCTGTGTACAAAGCCAACTTAATAAAGACATGGTTTGACCAGTTTGGTGTAAAGGAACTTGAGTGACCTGTACAGATCCCTGATGTCAAAATTACTGAACACCTTTGGGATGAATTGGACAGCTGATTGTAAGCCTGTTCTTCTCATCCACCATCAGTACATGACCTCACAAATGGGCACATTTCTCACAGACGCCCTCCAAAATCTTGTGGAAAGTCTTCTCAAACGAGTGGAAGATGTTATAACTAAAAAGAGAGGTAACTTCATAACAATGGCCAATGGTGGAGGGGGCAACTCCATATTAATGGCCATGGTTTTGGAATGGAATGTTCATCCTGCTAGTACAGGCACAATGATCAAGAGTCCTTGACCTTTGACCATATACAGTATATCAGTGTGCAATTTTAATTTATTTCTTAAAATTAGCCAAAGGAAGTATGCTTGCCAAAGCAAACAATTCAGAAGTCTTCTTTTTCTCTAGCACACTAGAACACAGGGGCGGGCTGACCATTTGGAAACTCGGGCACAGCCCGAGGGCCCGGGGTCAGTAGGGGGCCCCATGAGATGCCCCGATACCTTTTTCATAGGCTTTTTTGAGTTTGGGCAAGAACACAGGGGCCCCATGATCCCCTGTTGACTGGGGGCCCCATGAGTTGTCAGTCCCCCCTACTAGAACATTAACCAAGATCTGCATGGTCATTATAGGCAGCGCCAACATTCATGAGATTTTAGATGTTCCCTTCATTTTTTCAATGCCTGCCAAATCTAATTATTATTATTGCTGTGCGTGTATCTAAGTGTCACCTCTGCCACCAACCTAAACAAGGCAAAGAACCGTTCCTGCACGTTCTGGAGGGAGGGGCTGAAACCGGTTTTCTGCATTAATTGATGATCCACTTCTAATTACAGGTACTGTGTTCATAACTTTGACCTGTAATTAAGCTTGATAGAGCGTTACAACCTCCCTGGGAGGACTGATGGTACCTTGTATGTTTCAAAACATCTTGTTTTACTAAGGGATGCTGATTTACAACTCACTTATAACAACAAACAGGGATTATTGGTATTTATAGGGAAGGTGTAGGGAACTGCACAGAGGTCTTTGCTTACAAACACGATGCCAAAATTTAATGATGTGGGATTGGGGTTGGCTATCATTGAGGTGTGTGTTTGAGCCATAAAGGTGGACCTGTGACGTAAAATCGCTATTGTTATTATAGTGTGTGTGAAATGCTGAGGAGGTAATAAGTAATTACAAATGCCCATAGGCACTGCAATGTGGTCAGTGTTCCTAAAAGTAGATCTTAACCCTAACTGGATGACATTTAGTTTGCTAAAGCACTGTGTATCGGTGTGGTGGGTTTTTTTTGCCATACAATATTTTTTCACCCTTTTCCCCCATCGCAGTGCTGCCTTCAGCCTCTTTTAGGCTCAGTTCACACTACTAGGATGCAATTTTGCCACAATTTTCAGTGATTATGTAGTGCGACTATGAAGTGACTTGGCTGTGTTTTTACATACTCTATGATGCCAAGTCACACTTTAAATCGCACCATGCTGAGTCGCATTGATAAGAATGGGCACCATTGAATATAATGTTGTTTCCTTTATCATGCAATTCTGTGTAACACAATACATATTAAAAAAATCACACTAGTGTGAACCAGAACTTAGCCAATTCCTGTCTACATGTATGCTCTCACGCATTAGCTTCACATTAGTAGTAACAACAATGGAAGATACCTGTACAATGTGTATAACTATAACCACTTGTATTCTCCAATTGATGCCCATATGACAGGCTGACAACATGGGAGCACAGTCAGGAGAAAGGGACATAGAGCATCATGCTACACACCAAGTGCCTAAACAAAGATATTTTTGTTGGGTTCACCAGGGATTTTTAATCAAAGCTGCAGATTTTAAAAAAGACTGAAACAAACTATTTAAAGACAATTAACATGCTAACAGTTGTGCACACCCAGCTCTCTATCCCAGGTACAATTGACAAAAGCTGACTTTAAAGGTTACTGTCCCTTTAAATGTTCAAGTGTTTGCTGTCCTCTGTCAGAGTTTTTGTATTTAGGGTGTCACCTTTTATCCTGCATCCCATATTGAGCCGCTTCTGTCTTTTATTATAAAAGCTCGATGCTGTATTTTGAAAGTTTGCAACTACTGACGTCCCCCAGCCTTTAAAATCTTGTCTTCTGTACAAAGTCCTTCAGGCATTTCTGCTCCAAAGAGGTAATTATTCCTCCCCCGGACTCCCTTGCTTGCCTCTTTCTTGAGTTAAATATTAATTTAAGGAAGACATATATTAGAAAAAGTATGAAAAATTAGATTTCCAGCCCAGGTCTGCGGCTGCAGCCAGTTTTCTCGCTCCAGTATGTAAGATGGGGGAGGTTGGACATTTGAGATGCAAGACCCTACCAATGGAGTAGGTAAATATTTCTAACCTGCTAGCTTAAAGTGCAATATCTCAAAGGCTTAATAGTCTGTGTTGCTGTAGTTGTAACCAGATCCCCAGTGCAGGAAAACTAAAGCTTAAAGGAGAACTCCTCTTGTTGGGATACTCCTACTCAAGAACCATGAGAGTCTTTACTACTTTCTGTTTATATGCTGATGGTGCTCTGCTGCAGTGCACCTGGCCAGTAGCTAATATATATATATATTGGGCAGCACAGTGGCTGAATGGTTAGCACTTCCACCTGGCAGTACTAGGGTCGCTGGTCCGAATCCCAACCCCGGCACCACCTGCCTGGAGTTTGTATGTTCTCCCTGTGACTGCGTGTGCTTTAGCCAAAGACATTCTGGTAGGTTAATTGGCTCCTGTCTAAATTGGCCCTAGTATGTGTATGTATGAATGTGAGTTAGGGACCTTAGCTTGTACACCCCTTGAGGGTTAGGGACTGATGTGAATGTACAATATATGTATGTAAAGCGCTGCATAAATTGACAGCACTATATAAGTACCTGAAATAAATAATATATATATTTTTTTTTTATATATATAAAAGTATCAAATATGGACTCAGCTGTCTCCCGCTTGAGGCTGCCGAGGCCTTCCCAAAAACATTTATGGGTTCTAAGGAGCCTGAGACCTCTGCACTACAGGCAAATCATTGCATACCCTGCAGGGAGACAGGAGGACCACTGTTCTGTATGGCCACTGTCCCCATAGGTGCAGTATAATGCAGGTGTTGCCAGTCCTTAGAGGCTGTAAATGTGGTCAGACTCTGAGAGGCCACGATATTGTGAACTAGGAGATGGTTCAATGGAAAGCCAACTTTGATATTTAGTGTCCTAAAATCTCATATAAACTTTCAGATGGCACTGTACTCTTACCTGTAGCTTTTATTAACTGCTAATCCCACTTTTTTCAAGAAAGTAATAAATGCACCTATAGTGACAAATAAAAAAAATGTCCATTCTTTACTTTTTTGCATTGGAGCCTTCAAAGTATTGCAACAATAATCAGTGTATTGCGAGTGCAATGCACAGGCCTCTGCAGACTATTCCTACAGCCGCAGATTAATACTGAGGTACAGACCTTCGGTTATTGGTCTGGAGGAAGTTATCAATGAATGTCACAGCACTTGTGCTGCACTGAGATTTAGCAGGGTAGGGATGGGGGCAGTTTCGGGGTGGAGGGACTTGAGGGCTGTGGACATAACCAGGGGCGTACTGACAACTCATGGGGCCCCCTGGCAATAGGGGATCATGGGGCCCCTGTGTCCTTGCCAAAACTCAAAAAAGCCTATGAAAAAGGTACCAGGGGCATCTCATGGGGCCCCCCCCTACTGACCCCGGGCCCTCGGGCAGTGCTCGCGTTTCCAAATGGTCAGTCCGCCCCTGGACATAACCTTCAAAAATATACTTGGAAATCCTGCCATGAAGGTCCTTGTTCAGGCACTCCATGTTATTGTGTGACAGCATTCTGTCCCTGTCTCTATCTCTACATTACATGGGCATGGTCCACTGTTGTCACCTCGAGAAACCAACCCTGTAAAATGTCATGCAGCCATTGCTACAGTGCATGGAGACAGGAAGTGGCTGCATGAGATGTAACGAAGGATAAAAAAAGGGTAAAAATAAGTATTGATTAAGTGCCTATATGTAATTCATTTCGGGGTTACATCTACTTGAAAGGGAAGGAGGGGTGATAGTAGAGGGTCATTTTGTGGCTTTTATATAATATTAAACTTACCCTTCATATCTCATTACTTTTTGGTTTATATACATTACTTTTGATCTCCTAAATATTCAAACTTTGCATTCCCGGACTCTTTTTATGGGAGACAGCAATGCGGTTCTGGTTGGAAGAGCAAGAAGAATTTATAATAATGGATTGTAGAATGGAACTGTCGCCCCATCTTGAGGTCTGCTTCTAATAAGTGAAAATTGATATTTTTTTTTTTTTTTTTCTTTCTAATAGGAGATATTGATTTCTGACAGTTTTGCCTATTATGAAGCTGCCCTGAGCAATTTCTTTCGTCATTTCAATAGTCCAAGGAAATCTATTTGATAGATTTCGACAATTTATAAAGATTTTCTGACCATTCTTTTCACTGGAAATTTATTTAGCAATTACACCGCTATACATTTGGCATAGTCTATTATCTATTATTTGTAAAGAACAGATGCACTTTAATATAATAAAAGCACCTCTAACACCCCATTTGCCCTCCTCCTCCACATTTACAGACACAGGGATCACTGTGACCTGCACATGCTTGTACTCTGATGTGCCGCTATAGAAAATAATAAACTGCTCAGTAAAATTGGTGTACATTTCTACATAATTTAGTAGTGACCCCTAAGTGAAGCAAGATTTGTGGACCCCATATTTTGTTCATGTATTCTTTCCCTGCCCTGTATACTCTTTGATTGAACTGCCTGTGGAAATGTGCACACTCCTACAGCGTTGTTGTAGTGACTGCGGCGGATTGTGTTGCACACTGTGCATTGGCATGGCTGCTTGTAGTCTAACTTGAGAGCGCAAAGGAAAGGGTGACAATGCCACAGTTAAATTGAATAAGCGTGGTCACCTTGGGAAAGGAATTACCTGTTGGTATACCTTACTGATAGAATCAATAGGTATAATTTAAATGAAAACAGGAAATATAAAAAACCGGGATGAAACTTTTTGACACTGCAGGAACATATGAAATAGCACATTTTGTTCACGTGTTAACTTATTCCTGTGAGAGCTTGCTAATGCCATAGGAGTAAGTTTAGCAATGTACTGTTGCTGTCCAAAATCCATCATTATTCAGAAAACAAAAGAATTTCTATAGTGGCAGGGCTAAGTCCTTGGTGTGGTGAGATCCTGACAATATTGTCGGGATCCTCCTGATGAAAAATGCCAGATTGTGGCAACAGCAGCACTTTCACCAAAGCCCAGGGGCTTCACCCCCTCCTCCCCTCCTTGCTGCTTGATCTTTCATAGGGAAAACATGGCTACATCACAAAGTAAAATCAGAAAGTAAAACTAAGGATGGATCACTCGCTCTGTAACTGTCCCCTGTAAACTTTTAAACAAAGCGTGGATTGTTATTCAGTCTGTGTTGGGAATTTAAATAGAAATCCAGAAGAAGCTCAATGGTGGAGAAAAATAAATATATTATTCTGTCAGAAAATAATATTTGATATATTGTTGCATATCATACTTGTCCTTTAAATACACTTTAAAGCAGTAATAAACCCAAAAGCAAACATTTATTATACTGCAGCTCACTAATTCTTAGACAACATGTTTGTATTAGTTCTCTTTTTTTAAGCTTTCTTTCTTCTGTATTCATCTGGGGATCTGGCCAGTAAGTCTATTGTTTTTCGAAAGACAAAGCTCTCAAGCATGGCTATCAGTTGCAGAGGTGAGACAAACCATTTAACACTGGAAGGGGTGCTTACAATGATCAGCTTTTATTTATTCACGTGAAACCTTTTTCCCAAAAGGAAAAAAAAAAAACAGTTTACTGTAACTGCTTATAAAATGTTAGCTGGATTTTGGCTTCAATTTGTTAGTGTATTTAAATCTTCTAGTACATCTAACACTCCCCTCCCCCTCAGACTGGCAATGTTGCTTTTTGCTGTGCCCTCCGTGCTCATTCATCCAGAGTGGGGGCGCTGTAATACAGGAGGTGTGTTACTGGCCAAATCACCAGGTGAAAACAGGAAAAAAGCCTAAAAAAGAAAACTAATGCAGCTACCACATCTAATGATTGTCAAGTTGCAATGTACTGTATCACATTTTTGGTTTTGGTGCTTCAAGTTGGCATAATCAACAGGAATGGTTTACAGTCTAAAAACTGGCAAGGGTCCTTGACTCTATCTAGCACTGCATATCATAAAAAAACCCAAACTGTTTATTGTTATTATTATAATTTTTTTTATAAAATACAGTTTTGACCTTTTTTCATCCTTTACATCTCAGTGCTGTTTTAAAAACTTGTTTATATGTGTGGCACGCCTTGCCACCCCCAATGAAAACTGTTCTGCAGTGGATTGCTTTTCAGAGGTGTTTGATAGGCAGTGAGGAAGTGATATGTCACCTCCTCATCACCTGCTTTAACACTGTAAATGCCGTATTACACACAGTCACAGCGTGGCCCAATACATGTAAATGAATCGCATTCAGTGACTGTACTACCTGCCAAATGCAACAAGATTTTTTAATTTTTGCCAAAGCCACGAAGCAAAGCATCATGGCCACGAAATGTGTACAACCTTGAGTAGCTGCAGGCACTTCTTTAGTTGGTGGGCGGTAAAATTGTGGCTCAGCTGACTACCTATACACACCCCCCTTTGTTGTACATGTGAACAAACCCTAACTTTAATTTTAAGAAAAAGCAACGTGTTCCCCCCCCCCCCCCCCCCCCAAGGTGGCTTTTTAGGGCTCATGTACACTGTAGCTGCTAAACTGACATTCAGGAGCCGTTGAGCGTTTTTTTCAGCAGCCCCTGAACTCTCCCTGATGTTTTCCTATGTGTCCATGTACACATCGTCCTTTACAGTCATTTACAGGCAGTTGAGCTTACAGTCGTTTTTTTTAATGCACCAAACTTGCGTTCAGGAGTAGATTTTATCAGCGTTTCAAACGTCAAACACTTGTAAGCGCGGTTAACAGCGTTTTATAAGCATTTGCGTTTGGAAGCGTTTTTTAACTGTTCCATGTCCTGATGCTGTCCAGAGCCTTTTTTCCATCATCAGAAATGCATGCAAAGTTTTCCATGTATTCAAATGGACCCGGTACACCGCAGTCAGTTCCAGGTTTGGCGTGAAGGAAACAATGGTAGAACGCACCGCATTCTGCTCATGATGGGATCCATAGTGACTACAACCAGAAGACAGGTCATCTCCACACATACTGCTTTCTCTGCTTCTGCTCTCTTTATTCCTCTCAAAATGGCTGAAATAGTTAATTTTCTACTATTTTTCAGCGCATTCTGGGCATTCGGGAAGGTCTCCTGAGATTATCTTTTAAAAATGCTTCTAAATGCAAATGCACATAAACGCGGTATGCAAACGCAGCTAAACTGACGTTTTTTAACCTACGTTTTCCAGCAGTCAGTTCAGAAGAGTTTTCCAAACGCCCTGTGTATATGAGCCCTTACTTCCCAAGTAAGGCATTTAGAAATTGCAAAAAAACCAGGCGCAATTTCAGAGCAAAAATCAGACAAACTGCATGAAACCGGAAGCAATTATTTCCAGGATCTTCATAAGCAGGCCTTGTGCTATTCATAAACACGCACATGAAATAAAAAAGATGTAATGGAGCTGGCCTGTCCTTGTGAATCCCATAGTAGATATTCTATGATGAATACTTCAATCTCGGC